GCACTCTGGTCGAAGATTTCACGGTTACCCTTGGCGAGTTTGGAAATCGCGGAATACAAGAGGAGGTAGTAAGAGATATCGGAGCAAAACAAACCAACATGGGTGAATCTGGGGATGAGGACGAAGCATATAATGATGGTGATCTCTCGGCATCACAAGAACATGAGCACACTGACACTCAAACTGACTCTGTTCAAGGAAGCCCAGAAAAACAGAGCTTTGGAAAACAAAGTAGTGTGAGTAACCCAGAAAAACAGAGTGTAAGAAAACAGAGCATGACGACAGCTCCAGCTCTCCGTCGCACAGAGAGAGAAAGTAATTTACCAACCTACTTGCAGGATTATGTGCTACTCAACGAAGAAGAAGAAGATCTGATGCTACTCGCAGAGGAAGAAGGCGAGATGCTGTTACTATGTTTAAACGATGAACCGAGAAATTTCCATGAAGCTAGTAAATCACGAGCTTGGCCACTAGCATGCGAAGATGAGATCCACTCTATCGAAAAGAACCACACATGGAATCTGGTGGATCTGCCAAGTGGTGCAAAAGCTATCGGACTGAAGTGGGTATTCAAACTGAAACGAAATTCAGATGGTAGCATAAACAAGCATAAGGCTCGACTAGTTGCAAAGGGATACATACAACAACACGGAGTTGATTTCGAGGAGGTCTTTGCGCCAGTAGCACGGATAGAAACTATACGACTTCTGATCAATCTCGCAGCTTCTAGTGGTTGGGAAATACATCATCTCGATGTAAAAACTGTGTTCCTTCATGGCGAGCTCAAAGAAACGGTTTATGTTTCACAACCAGAGGGTTTCGAAGTGAAGGGACAAGAGAGTAAAGTTTACAAACTTAACAAGGCTTTGTACGGACTACGACAAGCGCCCAGAGCATGGAATAACAAGCTGAATCAGATTCTTTTGGATCTGAAGTTTAAGAAATGTTCGAAAGAGCCCTCGGTGTATCGAAAGGAAGAAAGGGGAAATCTTCTTGTTATAGCTGTCTATGTCGATGATTTGTTTGTGACAGGGACAAGTAAAAATATCATTAACAGGTTCAAAGAAGAGATGGCGTCAAAGTTTGAGATGAACAATCTTGGAAGATTGACATACTATCTTGGAATCGAAGTTTGTCAAAACATAGGCGGAATGGTGCTAAATCAGAGACGATATGCTGAGAAGATTTTGGAAGAAGCTGGAATGAAAGAATGCAATCCAGTTCATGTACCAATGGAAAGCGGGTTGAAACTCGCCAAATCAGAAGGAGAAAAGGAGATCGATGCCACTTGGTTCAGGAAAAACGTGGGATGCCTTCGCTATCTTCTTCATACAAGACCCGATTTGGCTTATAGTGTTGGGGTACTAAGTAGATACATGCAAAGTCCAAGAGAGTCACATGGCGCTGCTATGAAACAGTGCTTAAGATATCTTCGAGGCACCACGACACTTGGTCTAACAATCGAGCGGTCCAACCTGAAGATTCCGAAGATCATTGGCTATAGTGATAGTAGCCATAATATCGACCCAGATGACGGAAAGAGCACGACTGGACACATCTTTTATCTTGGAGGAAGCCCGATTACCTGGTGTTCACAGAAGCAAGAAACCGTGGTCTTATCCTCATGTGAAGCTGAATTTATGGCAGGTACAGAAGCAGCAAGGCAAGCAATCTGGCTTCAGGATCTACTTAGTGAAGTTACTGGAGTGCCTTGTGAAAGAGTGGTTATTCGTATTGATAACAAATCAGCAATTGCTCTCACTAAAAACCCAGTGTTTCATGGCAGAAGTAAACACATTCACACACGCTACCACTTCATACGTGAGTGTGTAGAGAATGGGCAAATCGAAGTTGAGCACATTCCTGGTAATCAACAAAAGGCGGATATATTAACGAAGGCACTGGGCATGATCAAATTTAAGGAGATGAGAGATCTCATTGGCATTCAAGATCTGAAGCAAATGGATTCCAAGCTTAAGGAGGGAGATTGTTGAACTAAGCTTGAAATGAAGCTTGAGAAACAAGTCAATCCTAGTTCTATCAAGTTAAGGATACCTAAAGTGTTTAGGATTAGAGATTAATGTTTAGGAGTTATCTAATACATTCTCTAAGTGAATTAGGATTTAATTTGATTATTGGCTATATAAGGAGATGTCAAAGTTGTGACATAACTTATCAGAGATTGTATATTTAAGGTTTTGAGTTATTTTCCTTAAGCAAATAAGAGAGATATTTTTATTGATCTTTGAGTTTTTGATTCTATAGTTCTTGGTTACAATTCAATAACGTTTAATTAAGTTTTGCAGATTTGTTCAAGTATGGATCGAAGAAAGTTAGATCTGAGTGAACTAAAAGCTTCTTTTGCAATTTACAAGTTGTGTGAATTTCTTGAAGTATAGTATACACAATTATGGTTTCATAGGTTACTTTTTCTGTTAAGTTCTACAATTTCCTCAATTTTATTTATAATCATGCGTGTATGGTATAGTATTCAAATAATTTTTTTGCTAACAACTATAAGTCTATAATTCTATCCGCGATGAGATGATTCTTTTCATATAGTCTACGAGTTCATCCACATAACGGATACTCTCATCCTTATTCCCAAACAATCCTTTCACCAACTTTGCCTTTGCTCTTCTCGACTCGCCCGCATCATCAATCATCGCCAATCTAACCGAGTCAGCCACTGAGTCGGAATCAAACGATCCATCTCTCTCATTTCTTGGAACTTCAACACCAAGTCCCTTTCCCTGCAACAGTCTCGTGTTCAATCCTTGCTCATTCAACACCGGAAGAAAAATCGGAATCCGTCCAAACCCTAATCCTTCCACTACCGAGTTCCAACCACAATGCGTCAAGAACCCGCCTACTGACTCGTGACTCAGTATTTTCACCTGTGGAACCCAACCAACATGAATCATACCACGTCCCTTGACTCGCTCCTCGAACCCGTCTGGAATCTGTGGTTCAAGCCGAGTCGGCTCGTTCCTTAGAACCCAAAAGAAAGGCACTTTTGATTTCTCCAATCCTGAAGCCAGCTCAGCGAGTTCCTCTTGAGGAAGACTCGCTTCAGTACCGAAAGACACGTAAACCACTGAGTTAACTCGCTGTTTATCAAGCCACTCCTTTATACAAACCCATGTAGCATCTTCGTCCTCGTCTTCACTAACAGGAGGAAGAAACCCGGTCGGAAAGATCGGTTTTTGATACAAATCTCGTAGTAAACCAAACCACTCCGGTTCAAGTTCCGGGGAGCTACGTACGAAAACCGCATCGCTCTCACGGATCGAGTAACCGAACCGGACCGAATCGGAGACTCCGTCCACATCTTCCTCCGTCTTCTCAACGTACCTAGTGACCTCGTGATAACGAAACACGATCTTTGACTCGAACGGGATCCACGGCGGAACCACCGTGAAATCTTCCGGCGTAGATCTAAAATCCTCAATAAGAGACCAAGGCGGTCCCATGAAACAGAGAGCGGAAGTGTTGAAGAGACTAAAGTAAGCTTTCGAGATTCCGAGCTCCGTTGCAATCGGTGGAAGCCAGTGAGAAGCGTAGTCATATATGATCCAATCCGGAGAAGATCTTCGGAGAAACTCTGTTAACGGTAGCTTGAGAAGATCGAAAGCAGATTTGAGAGATTGTTGGTTGATGTAAGGCACGTCCATGGATGATTCAGAGGAAGGAGGTAACTTTGGGAAAGGAGGGAGAGGGAAAGAGACGAAAGTTATGGAGGAAGAGAGGTTTGATGGTAATTTAGGAAGTCTCTCGATGTTTCTTGGTGTTGATATGAAGGAGATCTTGTGACCTTTTTGTGCAAGTAACTTTGAGATACGAAGGAAAGGAAGAAGATGACCCATAGCTAGCCATGGGAATATGGCTACGTGAAGAGCTTCTTCTTCTCCTTTCTTCTCCATTTTTGCTAATCTCTGTATCTCCAATAATTATCCACTACGAGTAATGGAAATTTATTATTTGATAAAATTTCTATGTATGCCATATTTAAAAATGCAAGTTGAAGCCGCCAGACAAAAAGCCGCCAATAAGAAAAACGAAACCAAGTTGACAAAGAAAACAAAAACGTGAAAAACTTCAATATGTGTTATGTATTGACCCGAATCACTACGTTAATTATCGGATGTGTCTAATTATGGGCCTAGAACCAATATATTATTTTACTATGTTCACAAAACTTTATGGCTTGAACTAATCTTAGAGTATGTGCAATGCAAAAACCCCTAATGGGATTTTTAGTTAATATTTAACTATAAAATTTATGTTAAGAAGCTTTGTTAAGATATTTTTGTTTTTTGTGCTCCAATGATAGAATTCTATTAGGGATTCTTACCAAAAAAAAGTTTTAATATTTAGTTAATCCATAACTTATAATTCGATCAAAAATAAAAAGAAAAAAAATATAAAACGTTTTGTTTGATAACTTTGGATCCCAATTCTTATCATTTTGAAGCAAATATGAACAGCCTTTTACACAAATGGCACACATAAAGACATTGCAACAACCCCCAAACCACCATATCCGTAGCTCAGAACTCTGTTCACATGCATATCTGTAACTAGTATATTCATCTAACACATCTATTTGAACTGAGGAAGAGTTGGTGTGGTAGTGAGGCGGGGCAAAACTTATTTGCTGCAAACTTGTACTGCCAGAAGAAAAAGCAAAAACTTGTACTACATCACCTGAGGGACTCTCGTGGGCACATCTGAAAAAGACTCTTAACGCATGCTTCCAAATGTTTAGTGTACGATGTGTAATGCTCTAACGTAGCGTTCTGCAAAACCCTCAAATTGCCAGCTTTTGTTACAACACTGAGTTGAATTAGCCAAGTGCTTAGGATTGCCAAATTATAGTGTTTTCGTGTCAAGTACGTACCCATGGTTCTTTTGAGTAAAAAAGAAAAGAAAAAAAATAAAATATATATATATATATATGATGTGGCATCAATTTTTCCTTGAATCGACTTTTTACTAGTAGAGCTTAGAGCATGATTAATAGAGAGATTTTCAGAAACTCTCAAGTAAAAAAGAAAAGAAAAAAATATATATATATGATGTGGCATCAATTTTTTCTTGAATCGAAGAGCTTATAGAGACGGTTCTGAGTAAACGTGTCCGAAACTGATTTGTTGAAAATAAAATTTGGTTAACAAACAAAAACTAATTTTCTATTTTTTTTCTTGTTTCTATCGATTCTTTTGGGTTTTCTCTTCTTCTTCTCCGACGACGAAGAGCACCACTTGATGCTGGAGCTTCTAAGCAGCACTTTTTCTTCTCACATCGTCATCAAGGGCCGTCTCTGCAAGGTCTGATTTCGATTTCATCTTCTCTCTCGTTTTCTATTGTTCATCTTCTCTCTGATTTCGATTTCATCTTCTCGTGTACACGATCTCGGCATTTGATTGTAAATCTCCGTTTAGTGTATAAATCCTTGATTTGTATTGGTTTTCTGGGATTTGTAGCTTAAATTTATCTCTGGATTAGTAACCAGAGGAAGACGCTAAGCTGGTACACACTCTCGCCACAATTTTTACTCAGAGTTTCCAATCCCACGAGCATTCATGAACGAGAAGATCAGTATACTAAACAGAACCAAATCAAATCATTATGTACTCAGATGAAGATGCTGCTATTCAGGCCTCCTTGCAAAGTGATGATGCTTCTGCACTCATGTACACTTTCCTTTGTAGAACTTCGTATTCAACGTTCTCATTCTATATATAATGATTTTGTTTGCTAGACTTGTGTTATGGATAAGTATGTATGCCTTCTTTACAAGCAATGCTATTAACTTTAGTATCTTCTTTTGTTTTAGCGTGGAATAGATTCAAAGTGCTCAGGGATCAGTTAATATTTTGACGAACATGCTTGGTGCTCTCGATCCAAGCCATTCCGAGGTTGGATATATTTACATGATTTGATTTAGTGGCTCTGTTGTTTGATCTGATTCAAGACACTCACTGCTCTTGATGCTGTGATTGGGTTTAAAAGAAGAACTTATAGTTGATTTGGTAGAGCAATGTCGTACTTATCAAAGACGTGTAATGACTCTAGTCAACACTACATCGTAAGGATCTGTTTGATTTCTCCTTAACCATTGTGTTCTTTATTCAATTTGATATAATCTGTTAATGGTGAGAGAGAGACTTTTTTTTTTTGCAGAGATGAGGGACTTCTGTTTCAAGGATTGGCATTAAACGACAATCTGCAGCACCATGATGATAAGGCAAAGGGAAACTCTGCTCCTGTAACAGCTCCCACTCCAATACCGCAAAGGGAAACTCTGTTCCTCTAACAGCTCCCACTCCAATACCGCTTGTTAGCATCAGCCATGACGATGATGAAGGATCTACAAACCTCAAGGAAGAATTATCACGGGCCTGCCTCGAAAAAGATTTGGAGCTTGATACCGTGGGATATAATATTCATATCAAGGCAATGCTAGAAGCAGGTAGAACAGAAACCTTTATTATTTCCAGTTTAAGTTTATGGTGCAGGGAATCAACACTCAAACCTCTGTTGTCACAGGTAAACTGCAGTGTGCATCTGATATTTTGTTGGTGATTGCTATATACCTTCAGGCTTTCGAAGGAAGCAAAGGCACATATGAATCTTGCAATCTCATGGTCTTAATAAAGGTTTCATTTTATTAATATATGTTTCATTTCAATTTTGTTTTTCTGTTATGTAATATATGTTCATTTTATTTTTAATGTAATGTAGTTATGTTTTGATTTTAAAATAATTTATTCAATTTTTTTTTTAGTTTTTAAGAACTTTATAGAATCTCTCTATTGTAAGTGTCAAAACTCAAAGAATGTTAATGAGATTCTTAACTTAAATTAATAATAAATTTAATGATATAATATGTTTAAGAATCTCACTTGAGTATCACCGTTACGGTTGCTGGGTCGATTCTTCTCTTTTTATTTAATTTCCATTTAATTAAATATTTTATTATTTTAAGATCTCAGCTTAAATGCTGCGTTGCACATATTCTTATCTCCTTCTGACCTTTGGTCAAACGGTCAAACTCAAATACCAATCTTTATGTAAATTATAATTTTCCCGTATAATCAAATCTTAACTCAGTAATGTAACTTTAGAGTTAGTAATTAATTTGGTTATTTAGAACAAGATAGCACGCGAGCTGCATGTGATTATTGCGTACATAATGCACTTCCATAACCGACAAAATATTAAATCAAATCTATTATTTAGTCACTATATATTACTCCATAACTTTTATTTCTTAACAATAATTTTCCATAATTTTTTCAAACTAAGAACGTTTCACATAAAACGGAGAAACTCAGTATAATTGGTCCACATCAGCATATTTATTAAATAAAAAATGTTAAATATAATTAAAATATTAAAACATTAATTTCTAATTTTTTAAAAATAATTGATAATTGATAAAAATATTACAAAGCCATTGTTTTATAAACAATAATATTTCATCCTATATATGGTGAAATAATAATACAAGGATAAAGAATATAAATCTAGATATTTTGGTTCAAATCAAACTTAAGACTCAAGACAATATAGAATCGCTAATAACAAATCAAACTCACTACACAAAACAGACATGTCAACAATCACAAATGTAGGTGCTAGTTTGAGTACAACAGTGTGTGAGAGAGAAAAGTAAGATTTTATATATATTAGATGAGTATCCGCGAGATGTACAGATTTTTTTTTCCACAATATAATTTATTAAAAAGTGTAGTTACAATTTATTTTATCGTATATTTATTGTTTTCTTAAAGATATTGTGTATTTGAATAAACATGCAATAACTATTTATATATTATATGTAATAAATGGTTTATTGATAAGAAAATGTGAAATATGTTATACCTTATATATATATATATATAGAATATATTAAATAGATATACTGCAAATCAGAGAAATACTATATAAGAAAAATTAATTAGAGAAATTCTTCAAACACAACATAGGTAGAGACGACCCTTTTTAACAGGTCGTATTTGTTCACAATGCAGATTTACATAATAACAAATTTAAATGTATTACTGACTATATAAGAAGACATGAAAACAAAATCTTAATGTTTTTAATGTATTATTTGTTTCAGTTTTTGAATGTTTTATTGTAGGTTCTATTGTACTATAAATTATATTGCCATGTATGTGTTTAATATTTATTAATACATCTTTTATGAATATTTTAAATTCAAAAAATGCCAGAATTTAAGACTATAGATGAAGAAATATGTCTTGCAGACAGTGCTACAATGCACATGATTATCAAAGATATAAAGTATTTATCCAGTCTCAAAATAAACGATTTCAATAGAAGCGTGAATACAACATCTGGTAATGTAAAAATTATTATGGGCTCCGGAAGTGTCAGTTTTTCAATGCCAAGGGGAACAAAGTTTGAGATAAATGAGGCATTATATTCCCCAAAGTCTTATAGAAACTTATTAAGTTTCAAAGATATCGCGGAAATGGATATCAAATAGAGACTATGAATAAGAAAGGCATTGAATATCTTTGCATTACATCAGAGAGGAAACATATATTGGAAGAATTAAAAATGTTATCCTCTGGATTATATTACACAAAAATAAGTATGACTGAATCATATGTTACAGTAAACCATAAGTTTACTAGTACATTTAAAGTTTGACATGAAAGGTTAGGCCATCCTGGTTCAGTCATGATGAGAAAGATTGTGAAAAATTCTAATGGCCATTTGTTGAAAAACGAGAAAATATTACAAATGGGCAAGTTTTTATGTAATGCTTGTTCTCAAGGAAAACTCGTAACTCAGCCATCACCAGCCAAAGTTGGGAATGAATCATCAGAATTTTTGGAAAGAATACATGGTGATATATGTGGGTCGATCCACCCATAATGCGGGCCGTTTAGATATTTTATAGTTTTGATTGACGCATCTAAGAGATGGTCACATGTGTGTCTATTGACCATACAAAATACGGCTTTCGCTAAATTCATTACCCAAATAATCAGGTTGAGAGCACAATTTCCTGATTATGTTATAAAGAAAGTAAGGCTGGATAACCCTGGTGAATTCACTTCACAAGTGTTTAGTGATTATTGTATGTCATTGGGAATCGATGTTAAGCATCCGGTTCCCCATATTCATACACAAAATGGAATGGTTGAGTCACTGATTAAACGGTTGCAATAGATTGCAAGGCCGTTAATATTGAGAACAAGACTCCCAATTAATATATGGAGACATGCTATTTTGCATGCAGCGACACTGATCCAGATACGGCCAAATGCATATAATGAGTATTCTCCATTACAGTTGGTATCTGGACAGGAGCCAAATATATTCCATCTTCGTATGTTTGGGTGTGCGGTCTATGTCCCTATAGCGCCACCCCAAAGAACAAAAATGGGACCACACAGAAGATTGGGAATATACATCGGTTATACGTCACCGAGTATAATTAGGTATCTTGAACCAGTAACTGGTGATAGGTTTACGGCATGTTTGGCCGATTGCCATCTTAATGAAGGTGAATTCCCCGCGTTAGGGGGAGGATTAAGAGAATCACCAAAATATATCACTTGGTGTACAAAATTTTTGGCTTATCTTGATCCTCCTACCAATCAACATGAGATGGAAGTTCAGAAAATTGTACATATGCAAAATATGGCAAACTAGTTACCAGATGCGTTCAAAGGTACAAAGAGGGTGACAAAGGCATATATCTCCACAGCAAATGTTCCATCCAGAATTAGTGCTCTTGAAGAACACATTGATGGGAACATATCAAATGAACCTAGGGTTCAATTGAAGAGGGGGAGACCGATGGGTTCTAAAGATAAAATTACCCGAAAGAAAAAAGAATATGGGAGAAGAAAGCAAAAAGGTTCTAGAAGAACAATTTAAAGAAAATGTCATTAAGAAATTTGTGAAAATGTTCTAGAAGAACCAGATAAAGAGATTCGTCTTGGAGACGAATGTGAAATAGAAAAATATATGATTTTCATCAATTACTTCCAAAATGAAGAATTATGGATCAGAGATAAAATAAAAGACATTGATAGAATATTCTCTTTTTTCGGTATCTAAAGAGCTTGAAAGCAATGATCCAGATCCATGGTCTATATTAGAATGTCAGAAAAGACATGATTGGGAGAAATGAAAAATGGCCATTAAAACAGAATTATTCTCCCTGAATAAAAGAAAAGTTTGTTGGACCTATTGTCACAACACCAGAGCATGTAATGCCTGTTGGATACAAATGGGTGTTTGTAAGAAAAGGAAATGAGAAAAATGAGGTCATAGGATATAAAGCGAGGCTTGTGGCTATGGTTTTTCTCAAAGACCGGGAATTGATTATGAGGAAACATATTCCCTGGAAATGGATGTGATAACATTCAGATTCTTAATGAACCTAGCAGCATCCATGAATCTAGATATGTATCTGATAGATGTTGTGACAGCATATCTATATGGATCACTTGAGAATGATATATGTATGAAAATCACTGAAGGATTAAAAATGTCGGAATCATTAAGATCAACATCTAAAGAGATGTGTGCGATCAAGTTACAGCAATCACTTTACGGATTAAAGCAATCCGGACGCATGTGGTATAATCGCTTAAGTAAAGGTTATGTGAACAATGCGATATGCCCTTGTGTATTTATTAAGAAATCCACATCAGGATTTGTGATCATTGCTGTTTATGTTGATGACATGAATATAATCGGAACTCAAAAAGAGATTGATGATGCAAGAACTCATATGAAAGAAGAGTTCGAAATGAAAGATCTTGGAAAGAGAAAGTTTTGTCTTGGGCTCCAGATAGAGCATTTTCAAGATGGTATATTTGTACATCAATCAAATTATACGAAAAAGATCTTGAAACGCTTTAGTATGGATAAAGCTTTTCCTTTGAGTACTCCGATGGTCAATAGATTGCTCGATGTTGATAAAGATCCATTTCGGCCATGTGATGATAGCGAAGAAATATTAGGTCCTGAAGTACCTTATATGAGTGCTATCAGTAGGCTTATGTATCTTGTAAATTGTACTAGACCTGATGTAGCTTTTGCTACTAATCTACTTTCAAGATACAGCTCATCTCCTACACGTCGACATTAAAACATATATTCCGTTATTTTCAAGTTACTATTGAATTTGGTTTATTTTATTCTCGAATCCCTGAGTTTGGTATGGTTGGTTTTGCAAATGCAGGATATTTATCAGATCCGCATAAGGCTAGATCGCAAACTGGATATGTTTTTATAATTGGAGGAACTGCGATCTCTTGGCATTCCCAAAAGCAGAGTTTGGTTGCAACGTCTTTAAATTATGCAGAAACTATTTCATTACATGAAGCTTGTAGAGAATATGTATGGCTCATATCAATCATTCACCATATACAAGATGCATGCGGAATAGAAACAAAGAATGAGACAACAAAAATATTTGAAGATAATACTGCATGTTATATCAAAAGTGATCCGAAGCATATCCCTCCAAGGTTTTTCTCTTACACAAAAGAGCTAGGGAAAAAAATCAAGAAATGGATATTCAATATGTTCGTTCTTGCGACAACGCAGCTGATCTATTTACGAAGGCATTTTGAAACGCCCTAACCCAAAAATCCGAACTGCGGTAAGGATTTGAATCGGCCACTTCATGGCCAGTCTCGGGTAATTTTTAACTTTTTCCATACTTAGTCATTTTCAGCATTTTTACTCGGTTTTAGTCAAGCCATTGAAACATAAATGCATAACTTAGATAAAACGAGGTTCAAGCATACAATGAAGGTTCACTATAAGCTAATAAAGTCTGCTATAAGCTATTACATTGTTCTACTTGACCATAGTCTACCCAAGCCTAACATCCTTCCCTTCTTGACTTAGTCCCGCGGTCCAGATCAGTTCCCTTCACGGGCTAAATCACCTGCATCCATAAAAAGGAGGCATAAGCAAACAGATTGCTTAGTGAGAGCGGTCATCCCGTCCCATTTAGCCACAGTAAAGAAAATCACAATCAAACAGTCCATTCAATCATCCAGTAATCA